TATATATATATATATATATATATATATATATATGTGTGTGTGTGTGTGTGTGTGTGTGTGTGTGTGTGTGTGTGTATGTATGTATATAGGTATATATGTAATATATGCATGCATATATATATGTGTATATGTATATGCAATATATGCACACATATATGTATATGCAATATATGGATACATATATATGTACATGTATACATGTATATACATATATTAATTCTATATACATACTTATCCATAAAACACACACACACACACACACACACAAATAACTCCTTCCCAATCACTTCTTCTCTTCCCCATTCCTTTGCTTTTATCCGCAGCCCCCCCCCTTCCCCCCCCCCCCCAACGCACCCAATTGTCCTAGCCACTACCAGAATTCTGTTCCGGCCGCCTGGACACCTGACTAATCCGGAGGAATTCCCCTTAGCGCAGCGGCGACGGCGGCGGCGGCGGAGGCGCTGCTGACGTGTCCCGCGTCATCTTCGTAAGCACTTCGTTGGGCGGCGGTCTCTTCCGTGCACGCACTGCGCTTTCATTTGTCTTCCTCCAAAAGCAGATAATATCAGTCACACTATTGCTACTTTTCTTCTTCCTCTTCCTATTACTACTAATTATAATAACTATAATAGCAATAAAAATAGTACATAAAACCAATCAAATAAGCAAATCATTAAAGAAAACAAAGAAAAGAATAACGACAGTAATATCAAACGGATGACTTTTTGTGTTCTAATCCATATCGAAAACTTGTTTCCATGTCTTCTTTTTTAAAGATGGCGAGAGAGAGAGAGAGAGAGAGAGAGAGAGAGAGAGAGAGAGAGAGAGAGAGAGAGAGAGAGAGAGAGAGAGAGAGAGAGAAAGAGAGAGAAAGAGAGAGAGGACAGAACACCGGAGAAAATGAGGAAAAAGAGAACCGACCCCCCGCCCCCACCGAGCACAAAGGGCACGTAGGTTAGGCCGGTTCACGACCTTTCTTGCACCGGATGCCTGCAGGCGGGGACGCACCTGGAAAGCAAGACACCCACAGAAAGCAAGGCGGAAACCCACATCGGTCCCTGTACCTTAGCGAACGTTTAAGAAAATAATAATATTAATAATAATAATAATAATAATAAACAAAAACAGAATATGTGATCTTCTGAGAAACCATAAAAGAACTTGAAACTAATTCAATCGTTTATTTGAAACCGCACACCGCCCTTCGCTGGTCACCTCAACCTCCCCCCCTCTTTGTGGTTACCCCCCCTCCGGAGTGCGTGCGTGCGTGCGCGTGAGTCATCCGCCGACCGTCCAAACCCCGGAACTGGCGCTACCGGTACATCGCCGACCGACCTCCGCGCCGGTATCTGGGAGTTACGTCATCAAGGCCGTGGCTTCCTTATGCTTTTGAGTTTTCTTTTACATCTTTTTTTAAACTGACTGTGCTTGTGCTTCTGTTCAACTTCCTGTCCCTTTCTTCCTTACTTTCTTCTGCGAGCTGCATTTTTTTCTCTCCCCCCGCCGCTTTTCCTTTGCTCTATCTGCGTTTCTATCATTCGGCTTTCGTCTGCATCTCATCCCTAATCAACCTTTCATTTTTAACAATATTTTGAAGCAATCGCCACTACCAATCATAACCAAAGTCCTCTTACTGCCCCAGACATTTTTTTCAACCGCATTGAAACTGGCATATCCCCCCTCCCCCCCCCCCCCCCGAAACTAACCAGTCCAATCTCAGCACCGCGACCATTAATAATAAACACACGACAATGCGCCATCAATAATCACAGCTGTCAATTACAAACACACTACCGATAAACGACACCAGCAAAGACCAATTAATTAATGCTTATAACCCCATTACCCCTATTACTCGACGTTTCCTTTCACCCCAACGCCTAAGTCCGACATCTCCCCTCTCCCTCACTATCCTTTTTTTTTTTCTCTTTTTCTTCCTTATCCCCTCTCCACTTCACTATCCTCTTCCCTCTCCTCTCACCTTCACTACGCCCTTTCTTCTCCTCATTCTCCTACGTCCCCTCACCCTCCAACTCTCTCTACCCTCAGTCCCCTCGCCCTCCAACCCTCTCCCCTCACTCTCCAATCCTCTATCCTCACTCCCCTTACCCTCCAACCCTCTACTCTCCGTCCCCTCACCCTCCCACCCTCCAACCCTCCGTCCCCTCACCCTCCAACCCTCTCCCCTCACCCTCCAATCCTCCAACCCTCTCCCCTCACCCTCCAATCCTCCAACCCTCTCCCCTCACCCTCCAATCCTCTCTCTCCTCACCCTCCAATCCTCTCCCCTCACTCCCCTCACCCTCCAACCCTCTCCCTTCACCCCCCCCCTCGAAGGCCCACCTCCGAAGGGCCCAAACCGCGCCGCTCATTACGCGTCGTCAGCAGTCAGTCGCTAATTGGCAGTTTACGGATCGGGCCGGCGTCAGAGGGCACATTCCCACGCCCTTCTTACGGGAATTCCACCTCTATGGCTTTCTTCATTATCATCGGTGGCGGCGTCTCTTAGAGGGAACATTTTCTTCGCCTCTCTTTCCTCTTCTTTTTTTTTTTGCATTCTTCTAAATCGCGAGCTTAGAAATAATTAAGAACGATAAATAAGGAAACAAAACACTTTAAAAAAATGATACATAAAGAAACGTCACCAGCTTCAGAACTCCCAACACTAATAACGATAAAAAAATTGTCTGGAGCCGCCCATAACCTTCAGAAATCAAGGTTATGGATAACTCACACAAAGAATATATGTATAAATAATAAATTAAAAAAAAATCCATGGATGAGGAAGAGAAGGAATTAAGTGAAGGGAGGGAGGGGGAGGGGAAGGAGAGGTAAGGGGTGGAGACGGGGGGGGGGGGGGGGCCGAAGCTTCATTAAGGCTGGTCACGCCCAACTGGTGGTTTCGAGAGAGCCTTCAACGAGCTAGCAAGAGGATGATGATCGAGGGGGGGAGGGGTAGAGGGAAGGGGGAGGGAAGGGAAAACAAGAGCAAGAGCGGGAGAGAGAGAGAGAGAGAGAGAAAAAAAAAATCAGGGTTAGGCAAGGGTGAGGAAATGAGAGCCGGGACTGGGCCAAACGAAGAGCAAGCAGCTATGTGGAAAAGAAGCCAAAGAGAGACGAGGATTATTTTACTGCTAATGATTTCTTCGTTCTCACTTTCTTCCCTCTCCCTCCCTCCCTCACCCCCTTCCCCTCCCTCCCCCACAAATATCGGTCTCCGTAGCAGCCAATTCAGAGCCATTCCCTTCCCAAACGGTGCCACTGAGCGACAGATTCCCCGTCAATTCCCGTTCAACTGCACGGCCGTTAGCTGCAATGGGAACAATCAACGCTTGCAACAGCCATGTCATTTCGGACGGGCCTACCTGCAGCTGGATACCCCCCCCCCCCGGTGCTGCCGGTCAAATACTCCATAATCAATATATACTTCATTTTTGTTTTCACCCATTATTGCTATCAACATAACTAGATGTGTAAAAATAATCATATCGCCAGAATCGTGTCATTCTAATCATTTCTAATAATCACCATCATCATCATCATTATCACCATCATCATGAGAGAGAGAGAGAAACATGACCAGTCGGCCACACCCTCAACACGCGAACGCCGAAACAGCCACGACTTTCTTTTTCTTTTTTTCCCTTCCTACCTGTCCAAAGCCCAGCCCGCCGAGTTGGGAGAATCTACCCCAGAACCACACTCATCAGCATAATCACAATCAAGAATCGATATTTGCATAGTTAAACGCCGCCAGCCTTCGTGGGGAAAACGGCTCAACACGTAACAGGCAGAAACCCTTGCACAGAAAACCAAAATAGAAGAAAAGGAGCGCAAAAAATTCCCAAGGAGAAACTGCATGATAGTCGGCGAGCAGCACGCAAAAAAGGGCTGCTATGGCCCGGTTTCTCGACTAAAAAAAGAGGAAGGAAGAAAGAGATGAAGAAGACAAAGAGGGGAGGAAGACAGAGTAGGTGGGTGTGCAGACAATAGGAAGGGGACAGAAGAGAAAATGGGAGTGGGAGAGTGAGAGAGTGGGAGAGTGAGAGAGTGAGAGAGTGAGAGAGTGAGAGAGTGAGAGAGTGAGAGAGTGAGAGAGTGAGAGAGGGAGAGAGTGAGAGAGTGAGAGAGGGAGAGAGGGAGAGAGGGAGAGAGGGAGAGAGGGAGAGAGGGAGAGGGATGAAGGAAGCAAAGGAAAGGAGGGAATGGACAAGAAAAAGAGAGAAGAGAAAGGAAGTTGAGAAAGAGCGACACGTGGCATAGAAAAAAAGAACTATAAAGAATTCGAAAGACAAAGAGAGAAGAGACATAAAATCTCACGGACATTTCATTCAACAACTCGCGAGGAAAATGGAAGGAAGGGGGGGGGGGAGTACAATATAAGGGGAGGGGGATATACAGGGGGTGAAAGGGATTTTTTTTATTAAATAAGGGAGTGGAATTGAAAAATATCAAAATGGGGGCCAGTGAAACATATAATGTGGCGAGGGGGGAGGGGGGAGGGTGGGGGGATTATACTTGTAGTATAACAGGTGAGATGGAAAGAGATTAAGTAAACAGTATGAGGGAGCAGAAGGGTGAACCATGTAACACTTACGTTGGGCTATCCTGAAGACATGAAGGAAGGGAAAAGAGGGAAGGAAGGCAAAGGGGAAATGGAAGGAGAAAAGAGGGAAGAGGGAAGGAAGGAGGGGGGAATTGGGAAGGAAGGAGGGGGAATTGGGAAGGAAGGAGGGGGGAAGAGGGAGGGAAGAGGGAAAAGGGGAGGAAGGAAAAAAGCAAGAAGTGAAGGAAGGAAGGAAAAAAGGAGGGAAGGAAGGAGGGGAAAAAGCAGGGAAGGAAGAAAACAGGAAGGAAGAGGGAGGAGGGGAGCTGGAAGGTAAGAAGGAAAAAAGAGATAGTAGGTGGGAAAAAAGAGGTATACCTAGGAGGGGTATATACTGAGTGAGTGTGATCCCTAGCAGATCATGCATTAACAATAATAAAAATCACCACATTACCTGGTAGGTGTTGTCGAAGGAGTCATACATAAACCTAGTGATAAGCGAGGTTTTGCCCACTGTAACAAAAGAGAAAGCATGTGATTAGTATACAGGTAACATGTAGTATTTCATAAAAGATTCTCTTGTATATATTTGGATAAGATAAAGATAACATTAACATACACAACAGAGATATTATACATAGTAGGGCTGCATTATACAAATAGTACAGTCCTATAATTCATATAGACCTACAATAAACCAGTCATGTTGACAAATGTAGAAAAGGTATGAATGAGAATATCTTCACAATACAAGAGAGGCATTTGACCAGTTTTGATTACACCTTTATTGGAAATACATACAAGATACGATCAAAACCGGTCAAATACATCTCTTGTATTGTGAAGATATTAATTCTTATTCTTACCTTTCTACAAGACCTACAAAAGTCACAAGTTGTATATTATACTATAATAAATACTAAAACAATACAGTAAGTATAAAATAGAGAGAAAAAAAATTACAATTATCATTAACACCCACTGCTATTAAGAAAATGAACCTCTGATCATATGCAACAAGAAGCAAAGAATTTCTAATAACACCGTCTTGCGCTCGCCATCTCAATATCCATCACCATTTCCAGATCAAGGCAATCATCCCGAGGAAAATTCAATCAACTCCCATATTATAGCAAGGCCCATTCAGCTCTCCTTTCAGCTGCACACTCAGGCACATAAAAGAGGGAACACTATTGACTCTGAAACAATACCGATCATCTCGGTGCTGGAAATCACTGTATACAAAACCTTGGCGGAATTTGGAATCTGGAGAGCATTTCGAGATGAGCATGTTCCAGGGATGCTGACTCTAATTCCATATCAAAACTGAGAGACTGTATTTTCCAAATATTCTCTGCCATTTCTAATCTCCTCTCTGGGTTATATATACATAAACTCTGATCAACAAATATACTGATTTTTATCTTCTCTTACAAGAACAATTCTTAGACAAATGCTAAATGCACGGCACAAATAACTAGGCAACTCCACTTCCATTTAGTATAATGGACCTGAAATGTAATAGATTTTCACAAGAGTATTCCAAGAGCTGTTAATGGTAATGAACCCTTACTTATCATAAATAAGAGAGCTGAATGTGGTTTCACTTCTAGCAAGTATAACAATATCCAGTATACAGTTCACACAAGTGTGTGAACTGCATCTAACTATATCTAAAATCTCACGGCGCACCATCATTGGCTAAACATGGTGCTGTTGTTATCTCTACCCCCTCCCCCCTTTCCCCCCAACAATATGTGCAATACTTTATCGTAAGTGTTATTTCAGTGCATCTTCTTTGATAATGGTTCAGTATTAACAATGGTATAAAGATGATAAAAAAAAAAAAAAAAGTGAGAGGGGGGTGGGGGGATCAGGATTTTCATCGAGGAGTAGTAGGACTACTTGTGTAAAGATACGTTGGTTAAATGTAAATAGAGTTCCTGATACATTAAGATGTGGAGGATTTTTCATTATATAGTCTAACTGTTAAACCTGACTGACAAGGTAATCTCCACAGATAGAAAAAAACATGTCTAAAGTTGAAAAACAGCACCCTTGCCATTTTCATCTAACATCAAACAAGGTTATGTATACTAATGTGTGTGTAGTGCATAGTGTTTGTGAGTGAGTGTGTATGTGCATGAGTGAGTGCATGAGGGAGTGGGTGAGTACATTTGTGTGTGACAATGATTGTGAATGCTTGCGTGTGACTGAGTAAATGTGAGTAAAAGTGAGTGAGTGTGACTGAATGAGTATGTGATGGAGTAAGTGTGTGAATGAATGAGTGAGCTCAGTGCACACAGGTGTACATGTCAGTCAAACAGCAAAAGAATAAATACTACAATCTGCACAAACTGTACTATTTCTTATTACTGCCACACAAAAGGAGGATGTATCACAATAGCTTATACAATATGCATGAAGACCTTGATTACATTGCACATTAATAGCACTTTCTGTGTTACCTGAGAAGGAAGGGGACAAGATAAAGAAGGAAGGAGGAGGAAACACAAGATATATAAAGTGGAAAAACAGGAGGAAAAATAGGATGAGGAGGAGGAGAAAGAAGGGGGAAGGAGGAAAGGGGAAAAGAGGAAAAGGCAGGAGAAGAAAGGAAGAGGAGAAAGGATGAGGGTGAAAAGGGAGAGGGGAAAGGGAGAGGGAAAAGGAAGAGGGAAAAGGAAGAGGGAGGATGAGGATGAGCTGGAGAAAGAAAGGGGGAAAGCACTAGGAGCAGGATGAGGTGTTGATGGAGAAGAGCAAAACAAAAAACAAAAAAAACAACAAAACAAAACAAAAAAAATATGTTTTGCATCAGTCTTTAGAACAGAAAGGCAAACAGGTTTAAATCTAAAATAAATTTCCCTTTGTCTTTGCACAAAAAAAAGGAATTTCCTGAACTGGGTGTGTCCTCTCCAAAGAAGTAAGCTTCCAAAAACATCTAGAAGAATTCTCTAAAATTCAAATACGGAGTACCGATATCCACTCCTGTCAGTGTTCTAATCTTCTAAAAAGCATATGTCACCTTTTAAAATAATCATCAAAAATTTAAATATCATCAACAAAAACACTTTTAATGCAATCATTATGATCTAAAAGCAGAAACTGTACAATGAAAATCTTTGTAAAAGATCGCAATATTTTTTTCTAGACTAATTGATTGTTTCAATTGTATTTAGAAAAAAAATCTAATACACATTAATATAAACCTAAGCAAATTAACATTTGACTGGGTAACTGACTAAGATATTCTGCTTGAAATTAAAAGAAATCTCCTTCGTCATTCAGGACATTCTGCTTATGACTATACTTGGAATATTCATATATATAACAACTGTATCCCAATCCATGATATTTCCTACATATATCTGTATGCTTTTCTCAATTAATACCACCTTTTTAACCATGTAAATTTTAAGAGATCCAGGTTGTAAGAAAAGTCTTTTTTCTACAAAATCCCATGCTTACATTTCAGACTAATAGGAAATGCTCTATAAAAAAAACATATCCATTATGAATGTAACACAAGGAAAATCCTGTTTTGGTTAGTGTTAAGATTAATCATTCCGCAATTACAGATTTTCCAACAAACATTTTAATTACAGGTAAGCATTTTGAAAATGTGCCCTCGGTAAACATTTTAGCATCTTCAAGTGTTTTGGGTAAAGAAACTGTACAGGGTACAGAAACAGTAGTATTCTTTTTTGTTTTTGCAAATTATATTCATATTTAACAAGCAAGATTATCCCTGACAGAAAGGACTGACAGGATATTTACAATTAAACAAAATTATATAATGACATTAAAATAAAATAAATTATTTATGAGCTTCATTTGTTAACATTAGGGTATTTGTTACTGAAAGCGATGAACCCTCCAGAGACAAAGTCCCAAAACCAGGGTATCATGAGAACCTAAAAGTCCAAACCTGACCTTTCCTACTTTCTATTTATTTCCTAGACAAGAAGGGGAAGGTCATTTATTAGCACTTCAGGCCATCTTACAGAAAATGAACTCTGTGTGAGGGTGTTGTGGATGTCTCTGAGGGTATTTGCTAGTGAGAGTGACACTCCCAGAGACAAAGTCCCAAAACCAGAGTATCATGCAAACCCAAAAATCCAAACCTAATTTTTCCTACTTTTTTTTTTTATTCCCTAGCAAAGGGGGGTAAACTTTCCTGTACCCCCCACCCCGCTTATTAGGACTTGAAGTGATATACAGCAGATATTTTCATCAATTCACGGTAAATATGAGGCTGCAGTCAGTGCACCTGTGTTATTTACGACTATAAGATGGCAGTGTCTAATTTCCTCTATCTCTGTGCATTGTCTCCAGTAACATTAACCATATCTGAGTTCCCCTTCAAATATATGTGCTACCAGCATATAAAATATGAATAAAAATGATATCGTATACAACTATCAGAAGTAGCGTATGCATTTCTATATATACAATAAAAATAAACCTGGTATCTTAAATTGTTATGTAACTACCATAGATGATAAAAATTAAAGTGGTACACTTTAGCAAAATAATGCAAAAGACGTGAATAATTATTCTTAGCAACCAGAATAAGCAATTTACAATGACAATTAACTAATATCCATTAGTGGATTGCTTGTTATGCGTATAAATAGTCCAGATATAGTACCAAGTATGGCCAAGATGGTGATGGTAATTGATTGGTGCAGCTTAAATGATCCAAGCAAGCTGACAAAGCTCTTCTATACACATTGTCAAAATTGATTTTTGGGCTTCTCTAAGGAAACATTTCTATCTTGTCAGAATACAAGTTGGTTTGTTGGCCTTTGCTGGAGTGCCTAGGAACTGACAGCTTGCCACTGACTTTGCAGTTTTAGCCTTCATACAGCTATAGGAATGGATGCTGAGAGAAAACAATAATTATTGGAGGTAAAGTTATAATTATATTTCAATTCCCAACAATTTCTTCATCTCCCTTAACTCTCTAGGCCAAAATCAGAGCGACAGATGGCTTCTGTGGACTAAGTTTACTATCAATGCAATCCCCTAGTCCCTTAGAAACAAGATTGCTAGTCAGAGCAACATTTCCTGAATAATTAGCTTCATGCATATATGAACAACTTTTATCATGAAGTTCTGTCTTAAAGAGATCTATAACCAGATTTCTCTAATAGTGAGCCTCAAAGTATTACCTAGGTAGCATAATTGAATTAAAACATCTGGTAATAGACTTTCCCTTTGCAAATCTTATCTGTCATCTCTTGTTTTGAGTTGTAATATTCCTCTTTTTTCCTATTCTTAAGTTTATTGAATACTGCAGAGATTCTGGTTCAAAATGATTTTGCTCAATGCAGATTATGTAAATTTGTATATCTGCAATACCAAACAGCACCAGAAAGAACCAAAAATACCAATTTTCTTTGCAATAACATTTCTTTTTTTACTGTTATTCTGCAAATAACAATGTAATCTTCCTTAAAGTACAAGGGACAAAGAAAACGAAATCTGCAACCTTTTTTAACAATCAAGGATACTTTAAAAACATCTAGAGACATTTGCCCTTCATCACCTGCTGCCTGATCTTCAAGCCTTCATATTCTACATCTGTAATGCTTTCTAATTTCCCAAATCTACCCAAAAAACTGGAAAAAAAAGTTTCGTAAGATCGAGAAATCCGTCTGTTCTTCCTCGCCCATGCTCATCCAAGTATATATCGTGTGAAGCCGGGATTTGAAAAATATAAAATAAAATTACAGGGAAATGACTCCATCCTCCTACCTAACAGGAAAATCCCTTCCATCCCTGACCCCCCAAACCACCTTCACTCCACTAAGGAAACTCATAAAACAAAGGAAAGAAAAAAAAGAAAAAAAAAACATACAGTCAGCTGATCAATAACGTAGGACAAAACCGCACTTCGGGAATCCATTTAAAAACCACCATTTTAAACATCAAAGACATGAAATGGGCGACCGACAGACAGATCCCTCGAGAAATTCATCATCTCCCCCTCAACCCGACGGGGGAAAGGGAGGCCAAACGGGCGTGGGCGTCGTCGAAACGGGCGTGGGCGTCGTCGGAAAAGGGGCCGTCCCAGCGCCCGTCTTCCCCGACCAGCTGATCCTCGAAAATCAATGCCACGTCCCCACGCCCCTTCTCGTGCCAACCTCCTTTTCTCCCTTTTCTCCCGGTTCTTCTCTCCCTTTCTCCCTTTGGCTCCTTCCCCTCTCCTTTCCCCCTGCCTGCTGCTTCTCCTTCTGCTGAAAAGGGGCCGAGAAAGCGGTTAAAAAGCGGCGCCGCCAAACAGCGTCGCATAAGACAGGGAGGAGGAGGAACTCACCGCTCTGCTCGCCGAGGAACACGAGCTTGAATTTCCTCAACGGGTTTCCGAATTCGCCCGACATGGACATGGTATTATCTTGCGTTATGAGATAAATTTTGCACGCAATAACTCGGATACGCTTAACACACAAACAGCAGCTCTACAACGGCACGAAAGAACGTAGGACCGCCCTCGTGCAGCCTCCGCCACGTACTGACTCGCCCGACTTCCGGTGAAATGTCAGGCTTGTGACTTTTCCCTACAGATGGCAGCACGGGAGTACGGTACGCTGTCATGGCGACGCAAACAACATTGATTTTTAACATTCGATTTTTCAGAATTTCCTTACATTACACTGTTTTTATGCATTTGATTGTGATATATGTCAATTTTTATATATTACAATAATACATGTAGAGTTAATTTTTCTAAACAGCTCGAATAGCAGAACATCGTGTCTCTATAGTTTAAGCGAGTATCTTTCCAATATAGGGAAAATATCTTTTTCAGTAATTTTATTTATCTCTCACGGCATTAGATAATTTCTTTTATTATATTTCATATAGTAAGTAATATCATGTCAATCAGTGCTATAACATTAGAGATGTTGAATATTTGATCTTTAAATCGTTTTCTAATGCCGAAAGTGTGTAACAGAAAACGAAGCGAAGAGCATCAACTAATCTAAATTAATTTGTTACATTGGTACAGTTGAAGCGCTCTTACTTTTACAAAAATATGCCATATAGATAAAGTATAAAACCATAAATTCTGATTAAATATACCGTAGTCCAAATGAGAAAGCAGCTCAGTTTATATATATATATATATATATATATATATATATATATATATATATATATATATATATATATATATATAGATAGATAGATAGATAGATAGATAGATAGATAGATAAATAGACAGATAGATAGATAGACAGATGGATGGATGGATAGGTGGATAGATGGATGGATGGATGGATGGATGGATGTACACAGATATATATGTGTATATACATACATACATACATATATAATACATATACCTACATACATACACACACACACACACACACACACACACACACACACACACACACACACACACACACACACACACACACATATACATACATACATACATACATACATACATATATATATATATATATATATATATATATATATATATATATATATATATATATGTATATGTTTAAGTATAAAGCTACTTTATATATTTATACTTAAAAGTTTAAGTATAAAGAAACTTTAAATATATATATATATATATATATATATATATATATATATATATATATATATATATATATACATACATCCACATAGACACACATACACACACACACACACACACACATATGTATGTGTATGTATGTGTGTGTGTGTGCGTATGTGTGTTTATATTCATCTATCTATCTATCTGTGTAATTTATTTTATGAATAGCATATTGGAAATCTTCCTTAAAGTTACTGTTCTTCTTCTTTCCTCTCTTTCTAGATCACGGCATGGAAAACGCAGATAACTGTTCACATAATTTTTAAGGACGATGGTAGTGGAGACGATAACATTCAAGATTCGAAGTTCCTGTAGTCTCTCCCAAGGGCGAAAACAGATGTTGGTTTTGGTCGCTTTTCAGAAAATCACAGTCCATGAAACATCTGTTTATCTGCCTTGATTATCAATACATATGGATAGATTTGTAGACAGATAGGTATTTTGCTTTATTTATTTATTTATTTTTCTTTTTCTGAACATATTACTTTGTTCAGAAGCAAAACATATACCGCACAGACATATATTAGCCCTTTCTCTTAAATGTACTTGCTAAGGTTTCAGAATGAATATCACATTATATGGGGCATTTTTAGATTTTTTTATGACTGTACAACATATACTTCTCAACATGCACATATAAATACAAACACCTAAACACACACTTACATCCACATCCATATCCACACACACACACGAGCACACGCCCGAGCATATGCTAGTTCATATATTTTGGGAAAAAATCATACAATATATTCTGGCTAATCACGCCTCTGTATGTTCGACGGAAATTCTGCTAGATCTGTGATAAAATTGCATGCAAGGAACGTAAACAAATGAACAACAAACCTGCTGCTGCGTATTTCGAGCTACACGTTTCACAGGCTGAGAACGAACAGCGAAATAGTTAAAATACATATAGGGTGTCGTAGGGTTGTTTCTAACAATGTGCAAGCAATACAAAATGCAGTACGCCAGTGATGTCCCAGAGCGCGTTAATCGGATCGTTTACTGCTAATTTTTTTCTCAAATGGAACTGCATCACTTACTCTGGCAAGCATGTCTCATTATCTAAAGGTATTGTCATGTGACCTTCAGTGGTTCTTTCAATACTACTTTGCTATGCGCATTAGTAACTTTAAAAGAGGGATTTGTTTACTGTATATTTACTGCGGTGGCTGACCAAGCCTAATCGACCTTTTACAATCAAAGTGAGCATTTGCCGGGCTATGCAGTCATGATCTTGCTCGGAGACGCTATTTGGGTGATTCTAAGCGGGTTAACCGTACCGCTTCGCCTTATGGCTGCGATTACCTCCTTTCATGTGCTTATTCTGGAATACCTTCGGCCAGTCTAAACCAATGCCACGCCGGCGACAGGGAGTTCCAAGACGCGGCCTACAACTTCATGCTGGAGGACCTGTGCTGGGGAAACTTCACGAGTGAGGGGACGGCATACTGGGACATTAATCGCTGCAATATCGTAGATGGGGACGGCCATCGCCAGGTTCACTTGGTGTACCCTTGCCTCTCCAACACCACGTGGCCATGGGGAATAAAGAGCGAGATATGGCCGAAGGTTTCCAGGTCATTCTCAAAGTATCATGGCAGAGTTATTGAATGTGGGCCTAACATGGCCAGCGTACACACACACACACACACACACACACACACACACACACACACACACACACACACACACACACACACACACACACACACACACACACATATTTATATACTGATATATTTTTTGAGACCAGCTACGGATATTGTTTTTCATCTCCCTGTAGCCTCTGTATAGTATATACAGTGAAAAAGATCATGCTTGATTATTCTTTTGTATAGATTATTTTCAGCAGAGTATTTAGAATTTTACTAAATTATTTGAAAGAAAAGAAATAACAGGCCAAGTTTCTGGTAGTTTCCCTCGACAAAGATATCACAGCTGACATATGACTGTTCCCGGACTTTCAGTTTCCGGTGTTATTTCTTATAATAAGAGTAAATACATGAACTGCTCATGCTGATTAAACCTAGCTCATCTACCGTGTGCAAATCGAAGCAAGACTGCCTTGAGTGGAGGAAAGGAAATTGCCAAGAAAGTGGGTGTTTCCAAAACTTCAGTAGCAAAAGTGAAAAGAAAACTTGATCATTTGGAAAAATACGAATCCAGTCGAAGAGAAAAGTGTGGAAGAAGCCTGTTCCTTCTCCTAGACAGGTCAGAATGCTTGCAAGTATGATAAAAAAGATAGCTCAAAGTCATTAAAGCAACTGGCCAATGAATAGAAGAACTATGGCGTCGAGTGTAAGACCTTTTCATCCAGAAAAAAAGATCAATGAGACGGGATAACGTGCATGTAGGCCATCTAAGGTGCAAAGACTAACCATAACTATGAAGAAACAACTGGCCTGGATAAAGGCTCACAAGAACTGGACAACAGAGGATTAGGAAAAGGTAAATCCCACTTAAATCTTCCCTTGACAACATAATTTAGTGAAATACATACGTGTATATGGAAAAATAAATATATGCTAGTTGCAAAAAATACATATAATACGATGTTCCTGTTTGGTTCAAAAACGAGATCAGAAAAAAAAGTTCAAAAGGGTTTGCTTTGAATGTTCCAGTTATCTTGTAACTTTTAGTGTTATTCCATTTGCAGTGTTGTTTCTCTACTGATTTACAGACGAAAATCCGTTAGCAGAACCAGCTTAGAGAAGAGCCACCCCGACTGTCAGAGAGCAGATGTAAAATTCCCTACAAGGCGATGGCGTTGTTTGTGATCACTGTCATAGGTACTGGAGGATTTGAGATTATAAACAGTATTTTAAATTAAACACAGACAGTTGTTTTCATTTTGGGATATTTTACCATATATATATATATATATATATATATATATATATATATATATATATATATATATGTAAATAGATAGATAGATTGATAGATAGATATGTATATATATATATATATATATATATATATATATATGTGTGTGTGTGTATAAAGTTAGATACACACACACACACACACACACACACACACACACACACACACACACACACACACATATATATATATATATATATATATATATATATATATATATATATATATATATATACAGATATACATATAGATAGATAGTTTTATACATATATATATATATATATATATATATAGAGAGAGAGAGAGAGAGAGAGAGAGAGATATAGATATAGATATTTATGTATGTATATATATACACGCTTATACATATAGATAGATAGTTTTATACATACATATATATATATATATATATATATATATATATATATATATATATATATATATATATATGTATATATATATATATATATATATATATATATATATATATATATATATATATATATACATATATATATATATATATATATATATATATATATATATATATATATATATATATATATATGTGTGTGTGTGTGTGTGTGTGTGTGTGTGTGTGTGTATACATATATACAATATATGTTTTAAATAACAGTATGCCATAGACATATAATACTACAAAGCTAACTGAGTGGAAGTTACAGCGCCTCTCCCTGAGAAACGATATACATGCAGATGAGAAGCTTAGTCCAGGATAGAATGCCAGAGGACGCCATAAGGAGAGCGGAGACAAAGAAGAGCGATGGGTTAAAAGCGTGCTGGAACGGATCAGTGGCCCTGTGGGTGTGTGCATGGTGTGCGTACGTGTTCTTGATGTATATATGTATTTGTATGTGTGTGTTTGGGAGTGTGTGTAAGTATGGTATGTTGTAAAAAGATTGAAAAGCATGAAAAATGTGAGATTATGCACGAAGATCAAGCGTGTGTGTGTATGTGGAAACGTAACCGATGGGCATTACACGTATGCTTATATATGTTGCATGCACGTGAGTGAA